TATGTTATTATTATGTTATTATTATACTGAATTCATTACTTTTTAAAAAATAAAATGCATATTACTGTTGAAGTTCAAATGCCCTTACTGTATGGATGTTCAATCAAACACCAGATGGTGCATGACATATTTACAATCACGTCACATATTATTGGTAATTATTAACTTGACCTAAAATATCAAATGTATTTTAAAATATTGCATTTAGATTGTAAAATTGCTATTGTAGCATGTTGAACATTTTGAGCAAAGTTTCTGGCAAACGACGTCTTTGTAATCGCACGGCCTTCAAATGCACATGTAATCATTACATCATTATTATTAACCGTGCTTGTATATTGATACATTCATTAGGGTTACCAATAACCCGGAAATAGGCACAAGCTGTTACTGGAATTGGTTACCTCCTATCCCTTATTTATAGTTATAATTCAATCAGAAATAAAATATAAAAAAACACACAATTCCATTTGAATACATATTGCTTTCAGCATACGCGTAGCAAACGCCGAATGTAAATTATATTGTTGGGGAACTCCAAAATGCAAAAATGATATTACAAAATTTGACCTAATAGATATATATATCCCAAAGCATGTATGCGTTCACGCGTACTATAACATTTATGGTGTATAAGAGATAAACACGTGGCAAAAGGTGAATAAGCAGCCTATAAGTGGAATTAGGTGGATTAAAACGGGAACGCCTAAAGGGAACTTGGCACAGGACAATAGAGAGGGAGCTCATAAATAAAGGAATGACCCTCGACACAGCCCTTGAGCAACGTCAGACAGAGCCAGATTGAGATCTCTCGATATCGCCTCAAGCGTCAGCAGGCACGGAGAGGACTGAATGAATGAATAAATGAATGAAGTGGAATTATAATATACTTGAAGTACACATTAGTTGATGAGAAAAAAACACACCTACCCGTCCATACTCCAGCACTGACCATCACGGCTACTTTCGGAGTTCTTGTTTTCAGTGATTTCAAGGGATGCGCAATAGCGTAGTAACGATCAACCATCATCGCAGTTAGTGTAATGCAGGTGGCTTGTACTGTTACCTACAGGTAGTAAAAGATATGGTCGTATATTTAAGGGAAAACAAAGTCATGTAATAGGATCTCGTCATACATTGATATATTTATTTATTTATTTATTGATTGATTGATTGATTTATTTATTTATTTATTTATTTATTTATTTATTTATTTATTTATTTATTTATTTATTTATTTATTTATTTATTTATTTATTTATTTATTTATTTATTTATTTATTTATTTATTTATTTATTTATTTATTTATTTATTTATTTATTTATTTATTTATTTATTTATTTATTTATTTATTTATTTATTTATTTATTTATTTATTTATTTATTTGGTACATATATGCGCAAGTATAGGCACAATCAGCTATGATCGGTTTAAGCAATAGGTTTTTGAGCCCACGTTGACATAAATATATGTAGTGTACCCAACGACAAACTTGTAGTAAAAACAATATCAATCGAAGTATGAACTGTACAGGTGAATAACCTATGGCTATGTTTTTTTTTTATTTTTAATTGGTTGTTATGGGTTGTTATGGGTATGGGTTATGGGTATGGGTGCAAACATGTTCATTTCCCTCCGAATAATGGTAATTATAGCGGGGGAGTCGTCACCTGCGCATGCGTCAATTGGACATAGTCATTGATTACAAATAAGCATCCATCCATGATCCCTTACGTTTTAATCACGCGTTGTTATCGTCTGCTGGGACTCAATTTAGCCTTCCGGGGAATCCACCTCACTGGAACTGAGGAACAATTTCCCTAAAACTCAACTGAGCAGATTTTGCGGGTACCTGACACCAATCTTCAATATATGTTCATCCTATAAAACACATGTTACAATCATGGTATTTATCATCTTGTGGGGCGACTGTAAGCAGCGAATATTAAATTACACATATAGGATTCGTCTATGAAGAGCACGATAATCACTCACAACTATCACAACTTAAAATTCAAAATCCAAATGACAATAATATATAAGTGCCTTTAATCGACGAGCTGTATTCTCGTTCACGGACGTGAACATTATCTACACAAAGTTTAATGTAATTACTCAATTTTAATTGAATCAATGGGCCGTATGTATAAACTGGTTGTTAGCATATGTTCCAATGTGACAACTATTGACATGTGGTAATACATAACACTCAACCCTGTAGTCCATGCATGGAATTAGCAGCCTAAAAATAAACATAGTAAAATTATTCTCGGATTAGATTAAATTGAACAATGCGTTAGACATACACATCATAAGGACCACTCGCTGCGAACTTTAATGAAAAGCTGACTCGGAGTTATATTGTTTCACTTGGCTGGGTGTATCGACTAGACATGTATGTGTGTGTATTTGATATACAATTGTCTGTATTAGACTTGGTTGCACGTAGATTCAATCTCCGTGCTATTTTACATCACATAGAAATAAAAAAATATCGATACTAACACCTGACAATTAAGAATGTGGTGGTGAATGTCTTATGGTGGCGCGTCTACGCTTATGGTAATAGTATGGAATAACGAATCCATTCAATTATTATACCATATCCTAATAATACATAAAGAGAGAGGGAGTTTTCAATTTTACCTTCTAGTCTACTCTGCAGTACACTTATTACTTAGTGCCACATTGTTGAATCGGCTATTAAACTTCGGTATTGTCAAATAGCAGTGTCCATCATAACTTTTTTTCTGTTACCGAATCATTTTTCTATAGTTAAGCTGTAGATTCCCGTTTGCTATTAGTAACCACATCGTCATTATTGTAAAATCTTCAGCCCAGACATCGGTAATCCATGGCTTCCAGGGATCAATAACATGTTGTGCTTTGAATTTGACCGATGGAAAATATAAATAGTTTGAAGGACGTTCCGAACGTGGCGCTTTTGTGTTGAAAATCGCCTGCAACGTGATTTGCATTTACTGCTTGCGTTACTTAGGTTACATGTATTACGTCATGTATAATGCGTCGTTTAGCAATGGACATAATGATGATGTGTTATGAATTGAAATGATGTTTTCATAAATCATAACGTTCAGCTGAGGTGACACATCAACATCAGATAACTCCCTAAAGTCAGCCAAGTGAAGTCTATTGTTTAGGGTCTCAAGAGTATTCATTTTATTCGATGTCTGCCGTCTGCTAAAAGAGTTTTTAGAAAAGCCGAACAATATAAACATGATAGTTTCGGATAATTTCGGTTTTCGAATTCCTAGTTGAAAAAGTATGAATAATGGTTGCAGGAGAGATCTCACAAGAGACTTGCTCGAAATGATAACGAGTTTTTGAGGATGTATGAACTCGTCCCGCAAGAATATCAACGGAAGTGCTGAAGTCTGCGAACTAAACCTCAACAATAAAGCAGCTAGTTAAATTGTAATCTGGAAAACATGCCGAATGAAAGATGGTTTCGGAATAATTTTCTACGTTGACTTTCCGTAGTTATTAGATTTTAAGAACAACATGATTGCTACCAAATACTATACAGTAAGTGATGTGCATCGCGTTTTATCACAGATATGCTACGTGAGTCATACCCTTTTAGCAATTACGTAATACACCGTGATATTACATTTGCTCAATCTCAGGTTTTTGGATCGCGAGGAAAATAAGGTTGGATGAACTGTTGAGCTATTGCTGGCATTCACAATTTTGCTTATCAAATAGTCCTCACCATTTATCCCACACCATTTATATTTTTTTATTCAAACAACAAGTACAACAAAAATAATTAAATATTTTTCAATTTGATAATTCTATTGCGAAAATGATGTGAATGTAAATGACGCCACTCATTCTCGTAATCCAAATGTTCAACTATGATACTCTTATAGGATAAGGTAAGTAGTCTTTCTAATAACATTTTAAAATTCTCATTACGCCGCGGCTTGGTTGCAACTGTTACCTGTTCAGTAGACTAATTCATCTGGAAATATTGAAATACCTAATCAAGACACAGTATCCGTAGTTAGAATTTGCATTTGGTGTCACCTGGGTCAATTCAAATACATGTGTGCGAATATTACACGGTATATATGAGACAGTTATTACGACCCTTCTTTCAGTGGTGAATAAGAAATTAGTTAAATTGGCAAACAGTTAAATGAATACATTTAGACCAATTGAAAATGCACATAATCAGGAAATAGACATACACTGTTATAACAGACTTTATATATTATACATATTGGTACGTATGGTATTCAATGCATGGTAAGTTTTGTAAGTCATTGTGGGTCCGCATGTAAAACCGAATATGCAAACCGAACGTTTAATTAACAGTGACAGCGGTGCCAAACGAGCATATATTATGACTATGCATCTACAATGCTATACTTTGGTCAATACGTAAAAGAAAATCCAATTTTTATATTTATATTATATTATGATTTGTTTTGTAATTATAATTTATATATTCCTATTTATTTATTTTAATATTTTTTTCTTTTGCATTCATTTGCGTTTATTTTTCATGAGGCTATAATATCATGAGACTATAATATCATTTGACTATCTTGAATTCAAAAACGAATATCAATAATTTTTATTATTATTTATTTATCTACTTATTTACTTATTTATTGATTTCATGTTATTTCAAACCGTTTGGCGAGGATTGTGTGGCGTAGTTGCGAGGCGCTTAGACGTCCTTAAGTCAATTCAAATCTTGTGGTTTGCGTGTTTATGTATCAGTTGAATCGTAGTTATGTCATGTGAGACACGATTTATAAGCCCTGGCCATGAATTAACTAATTTGTACCATCACTGCTAAGAAAATACGGAAAATTGGCCAATCGAATTATTCCTGAAATTCGTATTGTAATAACTCCCCACACACTCGATGCGTAGTGCGAGCAGCAGAGCCTGTCAGTTTGGTATGAAGTAAACTGAGATATAAAAAATGCTCTGCCGGGATGTGTCATGTATTACATCAGTGCGACGTGACGGCACGCACGAGTCATGGGCTCAATGTATGATACTCACATCTGCGCCAAGATAAAAACAAATACTGCAGTTGATATTTAATTTGTGCATCGATTTGTTCCCATGCTGCCATTACGGTTCACATGAAGAGAAGTGATGTACACCTGGTTTATATAACAGACTATTGAGTGAAAAGCTGCGCGGCTATGACTGCCCTGAATGTCTTAATATTTTTCGATACTGAACTGTTTGTTTATGCCATTGTTTGCCATCTTTCCCTGCATATGCTTGACTTCTTTCTTTATCATACTAGTAGTTTTGGGGTTATTTAAAACTGTAATCTACTGATATAACTTTTGCCATTATTTTTTAATTTCCCATTGACCTCTGACCAACTTTACTGGAAGTGGCAGCTGTTAATGACAAATGGAACTTACTTCATAGTGGATTTTGCGTGGGTTTTTTTAACTTCATCGTCATGATATTGGCATGAATAATTAACATAACGTTTTATGCAGTGGCACGTTCTTAAATAGCAGACGACAATAAAAAAAACATTTTCTGATTATAGTTTCTGCCAATAAACACATATGTGAATACGCAAATAAAGTATTACATTCACCCAATTGTGTCTTCCCAATACAGTGCAGATTCACGGTGGTTATTATCACGTAATTATAAAAAGGAATTCAAACATCGTTTGTATCCGACGAGCCTCAGGATGTACATGTATGTCATTATGTGTATGTACCATCGAAATCAAGTCAGCTGATATGTGCAGACGCCCACTATACAATGTGTCTTACACAAAACGTGTGCATTATTGAATAGGTTGAACGTTACAAACGTGACATGCGGCCAAAACAAGTAAAATTTTTTCCATGAATACATTAGCAACACCATGATATTGGCACGTTCACAGGATGTGATGTCACAGTTATCGTAATACATTTGAACCTAATACCTAATTTAGCGTGTAATTAATCGTGTTTATAGTCAGCAGATTTCACCCGTTTCTTCCACTGGAAAATTATAGTTGTGAAAATAATTAATTACGATTTTCACAAATTATATAATGATGAGCACCTTTTTTATTACAAAAATTAATAATACATGCTAATATTCTATACCTAACCTATTTGTTAGTAAGGTATCAGCAATGACCGGAGACCACTTTCAAATCTGATAAACCTATTACTTACGTAAGCCCGAGGTGTTCAATTTAAATATTATGATTTTCATGTGTTTCATGAATATATTATGCCCCTTGTTTATATAAACGTTCAGATCAACTTTTATTCGTGTATTCTATGACATCACACATAACTGCCACAAGTACTACAAATATGAGGGCTCTTGGTATGACATATAGGAAGGTATTCACAATACAGAAGAACATATGTATAAATAAGGCGCTTTCTAATGCACTGTTCAAAACTGTATGTCTATGTTATCTTGTGG